CGCCCCCAAAGAACGCGCTGGAGAACCGTGTGGGAACTGACGCCTGCTTCCATGACACCCATCCGCATGCCCGGCTGCTGCTTGTTCTGGCTGCGCTCACGTACGGGACACTGGGCTGAAGAAGTGAATGCGTGCTATAATTGCCAGCACTCAATCACAGGGATTTGCGCGCTTATTTTGTTTTATTGCGTAATAACTAAAAGAAAATAATGATTGTGTGCTCTCTTCATTTGCTTCTGCTGCGCTGCTGTGTGCTCCATTATTCTGCCTCCGTATCCGTCACGTGGCACGCATCCCAGACACACTCGCATGCACGACACGCATACAACTGTTTGCGTGAAAGCATTTTTGTGTGAGAATGCATGCACTCTGGCGCCATTCTTTGCAGCTTCTTGTGTTTTGTTTTTTGTTTTTCTACTTTTTTTTTACTTTTTTTTTTTTTCTCTGTTGTTGTTTTGTTGTTACCTGTTTTTTGTGCTTATTTTCCTTGTTTTTTACTTCCTTCGGGGCGTTGTGAGTTTTTTTCATTTTTTAATGGTTCTCCTTAATTTTTTCTATTGTTTCCTAACCTTTTACTCCCCCATCTCTTCTCTTTTTTGCTTTTGGGGGCAATCACTGTGGACGTGTTTTTTCTTTTCTACTCTTCCCTCTTTGTTTGTTGCTGCACTCTTCCTGCGAGGGGTGCCGTGTGTTTCCCGCCCAACCGCTCCACTCGCACACCCACCGACACGCTCACGACGACGGCCCTGTGCGCCTCGCCTGCTGCACGCATGAGGAGGGGCCGCGACGAACGGCGCGCTGCGGGAGCCGTGACGTGTGGGCGTGCGACGAGGGCCTGTGGGGCGGAGCACATATTTCTTCCCTCTTGTTTTGTTTTGTTTTTGCGGCCTGGGCTGGCAGACACCCGCAGCGCCACACACACAGCCACACCCTGCCGCCGTGTTTTTCTTTTCTTTTTTTGTTTTTTTCTTTTATTCGATGGGTGTGTGCCGCCACTGTGTGTGATTGTTGAGTTTGGGCCGTACCGCATGTATCGCTGCCATCCAGCTGTGCCTCTTGCTGTGCTGATGTGTCTTCCTGCGCTCCTCTTCTTTTCTGCTTCTCCAGCACGCACAAAATTATTTGCACAGTGCTATGCAGGAATGCTCTTGGCGACGGCGGGACGTTGGCTTGTGTCCCGTGCTGACATGGCGAGGTCGCTGCGTGTGTGCCTGCGGTGGGAATTGCGGTGCCATTGGATGGATGTGTGTGGGACGCCTTTTGCATTGTGCTGGAGGCCGGCTGACGCGTCTGCACGATGTCCGTCATGCGTGAAGGTGTTGCCTGCTCTTGGGGTTATTCTTCTTCTCGTTGTATTTGCACTGCCGGGTGCGTGCGTTGCTCGGTGTGTGCTGACGCGTGACGGAAGGTGCCACGATGGCTTCCTCTGACGATGACAGTCGCTGCTTTCTCGGCACACACATCCACACACACTTCCTTGTTTTTCTGTCGGTGTGATTGCAGCAGGGCAGTGGTGCGGGCGTGATGGGGACCACGACGGCGTCACCCCTCGAGAAGTTCCCACGTTCTGTCAATTGTGGAGCGGCGAGCCGGTTTGCCTGCAGCTCTACTGACAGAACCGCACAGTCGTTTTATTGCGGTCACTCCGTCGGCATCACCCGCTGCGGTGGTGTTCGCAGGAGCCGCAGCCCCGATGAGGATGGCCTCGTAGTTATCTGGTAGCCCATACCTTTAAGTCTTCGCCCTTCAGGATTGCCCTTGCTGCTCGACTGGCGCAGCAACAGCCCGGCATGGTTGTTCTGCTGGAGCGCAGGCAACAGAGCGTCCCGGCGACAAGGCTCATTGGCTGCAGTGAATTCCACCAGGCCTGCCGGTGGCGTGGCCATCTTGGTGCGCCACACCTTGCCGTGCGAGCGCCCGTCGCTGCTGGAACCAACTGCCTGGAGAACACCGCCTTCCGCGTGCGCCCACCGGCCAGCCCCAGCATGTAAGTGGTGAACCTCTGCAACCTCACCACGGCAATGGCATTTGCACACGCTGCTCACCTTGCGAGCACCATTCGTCGCCTTGGTCCTGCAGCGCCTATTGCGGGCTACCCGAATTCACGCCATGAACTGTGGGACGGTCGCTCACCACCCACGACGGCAGGAGAGGACCTCGCCGCCACCCCAAGCGGCATGGAGTGTGAGCTGCCCGACGACCCGGCACAGGCAACGTGGATCAGCGGCCGCAGTGTCTCGTTTCCCGACGTGACTGCGCAACGCGCACTGTGTGCCTCCCACTGGACATCCACCCGTTTACATGGAGTCGGACCACCCTCTGCTATCCACTGCAGGGACGGAGGACGGCATCCCGCGACTGGCAGGCTTGCTGCCGCGACGGAACATGCTGCCCTTGCCCTGCGTGAAGCTGACTGGAATGCTTCCACCTCGGCGTTTGGAGCACCTCTGGCCGCTGTAATCACATGGTTGGAGACGCACTGAGGCACCGTACAAGCGGCAGCCGTGACATTCCCACAGGAATCTGTACGGACGGAATGGAGCATGCCGAGTCTGTTTTGGAGCCAGCATGCAACGCGCAAGCAGCCTCACCAGGAGGCAGCTTGCCCTGAGCTGAAGCTCTCCGCAAACGGGAGGAACGCAATCATGTCCTCCGCGGTAGCTTCTCCGTGCTGCTGGAGGTCCGTGCGAAACACCTTGGTGCCCTCTCGAGCCCAAGCCTGTGATGCTCCGAGGCATGGCGGCACCATGTCTCCGCCCTCTGGGATCGGCTGTGCTGCGGTACTCTTGGGACTGCGTCTGTGCTCTGTCTCTGCAGCGGGCAACCCGCTCGTCCGCCACAGTGTCTGAGTCGCACGTGCTGCGATCTCCGCCGTTGTGTGCACAGTTTGTGCTTGCGTGCCCCCTGGTGACTGGAATGTGAATTGGCCCTTCACGCCGTGTGCGCTTGAATTGACCCCCCGCGACGCTTTGCGTGGCGTGGCCCCGGCGGTGCATTGATTGTGTTTCTGCGCCATCTTGTACCCAATGCCCCGCTGCTCGCACAGAACGATGATCAACACCTTCCTCTCTGAAG